AGTTCTGTGGACCGATGAGGTTAAAATTGAACTTTTTGGCCGGAATGAGCAAAGGTACGTTTGGAGAAGAAGGGGCACAGAATTTAATGAAAAGAACCTCTGTCCAACTGTTAAGCATGGGGTTGGATCAATCATGCTTTGGGGTTGTGTTGCAGCCAGTGGCACAGGGAACATCTCACGAGTAGAAGGAAAAATGGATTCAATAAAATTTCAGCAAATTTTGGATGGTAACTTGATGCCATCTGTGAAAAAGCTGAAGTTAAAGAGAGGATGGCTTCTACAAATGGATAATGATCCTAAACACACCTCGAAATCCACGGGGGATTACATCAAGAGGCGTAAACTGAAAGTTTTGCCATGGCCTTCACAATCTCCTGACCTCAACATAATTGAAAATCTATGGATAGACCTTAAAAGAGCAGTGCGTGACAGACAGCCCAGAAATCTCAAAGAACTGGAAGACTTTTGTAAGGAAGAATGGGCAAAGATACCTCAAACAAGAATTGAAAGACTCTTGGCTGGCTACAAAAAGCGTTTACAAGCTGTGATACTTGCCACAGGGGGCAGTACAAGATATTAACTCTGCAGGGTGCCCAAACTTTTGCAGACGCCATTTTTTTGTTTTCTGTTATTTTGAAAGTGTAAATGATGGAAATAAAATCTAACTTTTGTTGACATATTATAAGAATGTCTAATCTGTAATTTGATGCCTTTTGGAGATTTTTCCATCTTTCCTTGGCTTCTTTATGCACATTAATACAAATTTTTAGCTGGGGTGCCCAAACTTTCGATCCCCACTGTATATATATATAAATATACACACATATACACACACAGCTGTATATACTCAGTGCAACCTATAACATCCAAGTGAAAGATATAACACCAATATGTTGGAAAAAAAAATAAAATCACAAACAGAATCACAACAAAATGTAATTATTTTAAAGTGGGGTGATTCTTTTCTATACCCACCGTGCATACTGTACATACATATAACACACACACAGTTGTGCTCAAATATTTGTACAATACGACAATACAAAAATGAGCTGCATGGTCGAGTTGCCAGAAAGAAGCCTTTACTGTGCCAATGCCACAAAAAAGCCCGGAGAAGCATGTCAAGGTGTTGTAGGGCATATTGCAACTGGGCTTTTTTGTGGCATTGTCACAGTAAAGGCTTCTTTTTGGCAACTCAACCATGCAGCTCATTTTTATTCAAGTATCGTTGTATTGTGCTTCTTGAAACAAACACCTTGTGTTTTTCCAGAGCAGCCTGTATTTATCCTGAGGTTAACTGTGGGTTTTTCTTTGTATCCTGAATGATTCTTCTGGCAGTTGTGGCTGCAATCTTTCTTTGTCTACCTGACCTTGGCTTTTTATCAAGAGATCCACAAATTTTACACTTCTTAATAACCGATTGAACAGTACTGTCTGGCATATTCAAGACTTTGGATATCTTTTTATATCCTGTACATCTTTATAAAGTTCTTTTCTGCTCCCCATGGCTCAGTATCTAGCCTGCTCAGTGCAACTACGTGAGAGCCAACAAACTCATCGACTATTTATACACAAACACTAATTACATTTTAAAAAGCCACACATGTGGGAAAGTAACCTTTAATTACCATTTTACCATGTTTGTCACCAAGGCCAAACATTTCAGGGTATTTAAACTTTTGATCAGGGCCATTTGGGTGATTTCTGTTATCATTATGATTTAAAAAGGAGCCAAACAATTATGTGATAACATATGGCTTCATATGATTACTATCCTTAAACTAGAAAATCTACAATTTCTGGGGAAATTGTGTGAAGTGTTCTTGCCTCCACCAGTAGTCTACAACTGGAGTGGGCGGAGTAACTGGGTGGCGTGGCTTGTCACTCTGCTGCCTGCTCACACACCTGGGTTCCTATGGCAACTCACTCTACAGCAAAGGCAGAGGAGCGGTTAAAAACAAACTGCTCCAAGTCGCTCACTTCACTGGCGGTTGCCATCTTCAAATGGTTGTAGTTTTAAAACTGCGTAGTATGTCTCTGAAATATTAAAAATGAAGGCACAGTCGCAGTTTAGAAATTGCCCTTCAGATTTTAAGGGGTGTCTAGAGTGGAGTTTCAATGAATGTCAATGGGCGGCGTGAGTTGCAAACAATCAGTCATATTGTGAAAACTATCAGGACTATGGCTTAGCTGTGGACATTTGTAGTGGCAGCAGGGATATCTGAACGTTTTGATGTAAGACTTGTGTAGGTGGGCTTGAAAATGAGGGAGTGATGGCAGTTTAGAAATCATGTCCTGATTTTTCATCTCACACTCTAGCTTTTGTCAGCTCCCACTCCAGTTTTGAACATTCCGCCATTCATTCCTATGGGACCAATTTCACCACAAAAACAGCGATATTTTGTGGTTCACGAATGGTTCATTCTGCGAAACGTTCCACAAAGTAATAGCACACCAATCGGGAACAATCCGCACAGTTCGGTATATTACTGTCTATGTAGTGTAAAAACTGTGGGAGGAGTTAGGGTGGTAAATTTGGCTATAATAATAATAATAAGAATACATATGTGAGATAACTGGAAGTGGTCTTGCCATGTAAGAACACTTAATAAAAGACAGCTGTCAAGCATCCACGATCCAGCAGAGGAGTTCTTGGAATTTGAACGGCAACTGCCCTTTAGTGTCCATGTCCTGCAGGATCCAGGACACTGTAGCAGTTGGTGCAAAGTGCTTGAACGCACTTCAAAGTGTCCCTTTTAATTATTTTCAAATTATTTATTATAGGTACTTATATAGCGCCGTCAATTTACGCAGCGATTTACATATATATTGTACATTCACATCAGTCCCTAACCCTCAAGGGGCGTACAGTCTAAGGTCCCTAACTTACATTCCTATATATACATACTAGGGCCAATCTAGACAGGATCGAATTAACCTACCAGCATGTCTTTGGAGTGTGGGAGGAAATCGGAGTACCCAGAGGAAACCCACGCAGGCACAGGGAGAACATGCAAACTCCACGCAGGTGGTGCCGTAGTTGGGATATTTTCAAATGTGGCAAACAACACACACAAAACTAATATAATTTTAGAAGCGGGGGTAACATCTTATAAGCAGTAGCAACTTCAACTAATATAAAGTCATAAAACACCAGAAAAAGGATCTTTAATAATGCAGTGAAGGACACCATAGAACACTGCAGCTGCAAAGACCTTTTGGATGCATAAAGTAATAAACTGATCAGAATGTAATTTAGAAGCTGACAGTTAATTTACTTATAATGTGTTCTTGCACTATTCATTAACTCAGTGGTAAAAGGATCAACTGCAGCTGGGAAAGTAAACAGCACAAAGAAAAGCAGCTGTTGCCAAGTAACGGAACTGAAACCCTCACAGAGAATTCATTCACCATTGGCTAACAAGAACAAAAACAGTAAAACTGCTGACGTCATAACAAAAATACACAACTATTGTCTTCAGCTTGGGCCTCATGGGTAGATTGTAGGCAAGCCCAATGTCCAGTTTGTTTTCCTTGCAAGATCTCCACAGATAGGATATTACAGATACTTTAAAGGCACTGCAGGGTCACTTGGTTTACAGAAACATCCTGGGCAGACACAAGCATACTAATGGAACCATATAGGGCAGTGCAAAGATTAAGGACTTAAAAAAAAAAAACCTGACAAATGCTACCTACCTATCAATTCTAGTTCATTTACTGCAGGCATTGGCAAAAACAACCTGCTTTGCTTGTCCAGAATTGTAGATTTTACTGGTAGTTGTATTTGCATATTGGCTTCACAGAGACAATAGGTTATATTTACAGATCTGACATCTATAACGGCAACTATAGAAATGTTTGGTTAGAATTTAGTACTTTTTAACCTCCCTAGCGGTCTGATTATGTCAGTATTTCTGTGCTCAAAGTGGTACATTGTTTTGCATGGAAATATGTTTTTTTTTTTATTGTAGGCCTGTAATTCTTAGGAATAACTCACTGACATCTGTCCAAACAAGAGTCTAGTAAACATCCCGGGTATGATAAAATTTGAAACACAAAATCATAAATTATAATATAATCATAAAAAATAATATAATAATTATACATTTAAATCAATAATATAATCAAACCAAAAACACTTAAATTTGAAATAGAGCACCAAGTTCGCACATCAGTGTGCTTAGTCGCAAAATCGTTTTCAGTGTCTGATGACGAATTTCCCCACGAATCATTATCACTCAATTCTGCAAGTGGTTCGGATTTACTATCGCTGTTCTCTAGTTGGTCTAAAACAGCTTTTGACCTAAAGGGACGCTTTTTGGACGCCATGGACATTTCTCAGTTTCCAGGCAGAAAGAACAGTAAAAATGCAGGCAGGGCACGGGACAAAGCACTAGGGACAAAATGTATGTGAAATGCTTTGATACAGTAATGTTTTACTATGGGATTTTAGTGTATTGAGTGAATGTCACATTTTTTAATTTTCCCGCCGGTTCTGGCACCCGTACGCCCCGACGCTCACAGGAACCAAAAGATGGATGCCGGCATCAGCCGGAGGAGCTGGCCAGGGACGCTGCAGGAGGGACATCGCGGGAGCGCAGGACAAAGTAAGTGAAACAGGGATCCTGGAGGAACGCTGCAGAGTATTCCCGAGTGTAGCTCGGGGTTACCGCTTTTGGTACTGAAAGTTTTCCCCGAGCTACACTCGGGAATACCGCCAGGGAGGTTAATGTAGTACTCCAGAGTCAGTGAGTGCAGGGAACCTGCAAGTACTACATGGTGTCAATGATCCTAACCATGAAGACTAAAAAACCTAAGCTGTTGCAACTTTAAGATGAACTGGCTACCTTGCTCAGTCCTAAAACACAGTGTAGATGGAGCTAAAACCTACCATAATTACTTGATAAATTACATCCTTCCATTTTACAATTCATAATGGCTAAAAGCAGCATTTGTGCTTACAAGTCATTCATACCTGCACTGGCAGTCAAAGAGGTTTTTTGTTCAATTCGAAATCTCATTTCTCTCACAGCTTCTTCTGCTGATGTCCCAAAGACAATTGCATTTTCCGTAGGCTCTTCTATTTCTGCTGGATCTGGCAGAGACTGAGGTAGGGTCGGTTCATTCAGGAAGGAAGGACTGTCTTCAAATAGCACTGGGGATGTGCATTGTGTCTGTTCTGGTTCACACGGTTCTGTAGTGGTCACCAAACCTGCTATTACTAAAATACACAAATTAAGCTGCTGGTGTAAAGAGTGCAGACCAGAAAATTGGACCAATGTAAATTGTTCACTCTAGCAACAAGACAGGCAGTTCTGACAGTAAAAACCAGAGTGAACGATCGATCTGCCCATCACTGTGTGATCATTAAACCAATGGACCCACTCTGCACTAACCTAAATTTTGAACTCAGATTCATTCACAAACACTTTTTCTCTTTCCAGAATGGAAGAACAGGTCCCACAGGTTTCTGAATAAGTTGCCAAGCAGCCATTAATATTTTTGTTAAATCACAGTTAAAGATTATTGGCAATGTTTAAGATTATATAAAGCCTCACAGAATACAGCATAAATAAAAGTGCAGCTGACAGTCCAATACCCCCCTGGGAAAAAAAAAAAGTCTTTGTATGTAAACAACAGCGCACCACTTCGTACTCCGATCCTCCTGTCTTCTCACCAGAATCTCTTTAACCAGAATATGTTGTATGCCATAGAATATCTCTCTCTCCATTGATCTTCCAATCTACTGGTCCAAATCTCAAAAGAAAAAAACTAATATAGTGTAGTATTTCTGCAGGCCTGCCTATGAGGAAGTCGATTGAATGACAAAACGCGTCAGTCGGATGTGATGTCAGACACAACCGGAAGTACCGCGGCTGACATTTTAGAATTGGTTGAATCAAGCTGTTTGTACCTCAGACTCATGCAAGCGCAATTTTTATTATTAAATTGATCTTTCAAGTACTACAGCACTATGGGAGTATATTTTATCTTTTATGATCACTGAGAGTACATGAAGAATCGGGGACGAGATTGAGCACGTTGATTACATATTATGAAAAGACAACTCACAAGACATGCAGGGTAAGGTGCATGCCGGAAGGGGAAGAGATTGAGCACGGTTGATTTGCATCGCACACAGGTGGTGGATGGAGCATGGTCACATGTTTATCTTAGATGTTATTCACAGTAAAAAGAGCGAAAAGCCCATTTTCACCCTAAGAGGGTAAGAGTATTTAGGGGATAAGTGGTGGACACTTTTTGTATAATATTTAATTGTGCACAGGTGTACATGTATGAGAAAATACTACACTATAGTTATTTTCTTTGGAGATTTGGAACAGTACATTGGAAGATCAAAGGACAGAGAGATATTCTATGGCACACAACATATTCTGGTTAAAGAGATTCTGCTATGAAGACAGGAGGATTGGAGTACGAAGTAGTGCGCTGTTGTTTACATACAAAGATTATTGGCAGCTGACTGCACCCAGGCTTGGACATCTGTCCTGGAACTGCAGCTAATCACACTATGTGCAGCTACACGCGATCAGCAGCGGCCCCTGCCAGCCCGCCATTAGTTTAAATGAGCTGAGCGGCCGACACTGATCGCATAATCAGGTCATTCCTGCAGCAAGAATTTGCAGATTCTTGCCGCATGATACCAGAGGCCGCGCAAAAAAAGTGGTTTTAGTATGCCTATATTGCAAGATGTAGGGGGCTAATTATTATTATTATTATACAGGATTTATATAGCACCAACAGTTTGCTCAGCGCTTTACAATATAAAAGGGAGACAATACAGCAACAATACAGTTCAATACAAGAGGGTTATGAGGGACCTAAGAGGGTTAGGAGGGTCCTTCAAATCACAAGATCATGCTGTACTATAAAATATGGGCTATTATCATTCATCAAGAGTGATTCCCCCATCCACATTGAGTGTGTGGATGGGGGGGGAGAGGGCGATTTTCTTTTTCATTCAACCCTCTGGTTGAACAAACAAAAATTAAGCATGTATGGGCTTCCTTAAATTGTTGTTTAGAGAATGGAATTGGAGAGTCTCTGTGCAGAGTAAGGCCGAGAGTGATCTGCACAAAGCCCTGACCTAAATCAAATTGAAAACCTTTGGTATTCATTGAAATACACACTGCAAACCAGGTCGTAAAATTCAACATAAGCACCTGACCTAACAAATGGTCATTAACTGAATGGGCACAAATTCTCACAGACAAACTCACAAACATTGTGAATAGCCTTACCAGAAAAGTAGAGGCTGTTATAACCATATAAATGCCCATGGTTTTGAATTGACATGTCCAAAAACTCAGGTGTCCACAAACATTTAGCTGTACTGTACACTAGGCAAATGTAGAGGTATCATGCCACAAATATATCACTGCTTACTAGCAAGGCAAGAGGATGCATCTTTAATTTATTGGGCTGGCCAACAAGTTCAACAAAATAGCCAACTCAAGGAGGACAGGTATGTGCATGAAATGAGTGAATTGTCAGAATGCCCCAGAAATTTAAGAACTGTGTCCAAAACTGAAGTATGATTGGACTCCTTGTATGTGGTAAGAAATTTCTAGATCTTCACAGAGCTAGATCCAAAAAAGTCATGGTCATAGAAACAAGAAACAAGCAAAGGTTGTCCCACATTTCTCTCTATCCAAAACAAAATGAGAAGAAGAATCTCATGAGAGGACTCAAAATTCTAAATTCTGTACTTTACCTGCTGGAGAGTCATCTTTCTGTAATGTGCTAGCTTTTACAAATCTCCTCCGGTCTTCTGGCCATGTCAACCTTTCCTCCAAATGATCAGTAATATCCAAATAGGCTTCATCAAGGCTGAGAGGCAAAAAGTTGGGATCATACTCTGCAAAAATTTCTCGAACCTGAGAGAAAAATAAAAAATGTACATTTCAGGATTTCATTAAATTAACTGAAAACGGTGAATTTTTAAAAATTTCTAGCAGAAGTAAATAGAAACCTAAAAGACAAAAGGGATATTTGGCGCATTAAGAGGAAAAAGACCAGATGTATTATGTGATGGCTAGTATATTAACCACACAAGTAAAGTCCTTAAAGTCCAAAGGTAGTTAAGGGATAATCCAACAATGCTTGACTCAGTGGCAGCCGATTCAAAAGGAGCTAGTAGAGACTTTGTGTTAACCATAAAAAGGAGAGACGCAGCGCCATCTAAGAGAGATAAAAACAATTTATTTCCACAAAATTGGCAACTCACAATAGAAGTACATAGAAGACCTGCCTACAGCGGGACCGAACAGGAGTTGCACAGCCGTTGACACCAATTTAACAAGCGCTCATTCCACTACACCTATTGTGAGTTGCCAATTTTGTGGGTATAAATTATTTGTTTTTATCACTGCACTTAGATGTCACTGCTTCTCTCATATTTATAGTAAGTAGAAACCTGGGGTGGGGTGGGGTGGGGTGGTGTAGAGGTTCAGTGCTGCGCACAGAAGGTTGTTTACCTTCGTGCATAGAATGCATGAAGGTAAAATAAAATCTTCAGCATTTAGAATCACTTTAACTGGTGAGGAGATATTCATCTATAAATCTAAAAAAAAAAAAAATATGTTGTTTTCTCATAAATATGATAAAAGGTTACATTTATTTTGATATTGGTAATATCTGCATAATAAGATATACACACCTCTTTGCTTACTTCTCGATATTTGTCAAAATTCGTTGGAACAATGACCAAATTGGGACACAACCTCTTTGCTATGAATCCTGGCATAGCCGCACGTACGCCAAACCTTCTTGCCAAATAATTTGAAGTGGACTTTAAAATAATGATAAAAAGTAAATTTTAAAGAGAATGATACATTCAGCAGAATAGAAATCTTAACTAAATTTAAAACCTACCCCAAATATGTTGTTGCACATTACTTGTAATAGCAAAACCTTTAATCTATTTTTCTATATGTCCTTCTTGTAATTTAAAGTGGAAGTCCGGGCTAAACCTATATAGTCTTAAACAAAAGAGTCTACAGGGTGTGCACAGTGCAGGGAAAGACATGTGAACTGTATTTTGTTTTATTAAAAAAAATGCAATTTTACAATGCTGCACAAACCTAAGTAGTCTTTTGAGTTTAGTTTTACTTTACATAATGCTTTTTTTTTAAAATTCTACTTTTATAAACACTGAAGAAGAATTCTAGATAGCTCAAAAGGGAAGCTATGATAAGGAGCATGTTTAAAAGTGATATATTTTTAAAATCATTAAATATAATACATTGAGACCTAACATCCCAGTACTAGTAGAACAAGTAACAGCAGAAAGAATGTCACCCAAACATTTTCTGTCTACTCTCATCACGACAACCAGTTGACTGACAATAAATATTACATATAGCAATGTCGGGAAAATATAAACTGCTGATTCCGTTTTGGCAATCTGAGATGAAGGAAACAAAATGGCCACCACAGAGTTATAGAGAAGGAAATCAATGACTTCACTGCCAATGCAAATAACCAGAGTCACCACGTCAGAAACTATGTGCACAGTCAGGGCATACCCCATTCAACATCAGTGTACCAAGCAGATGGCCTATGATTGGCCAGAATATCCTTAAAAGATAAGTTCACCTTTCGTAACATGTTACACCTATATTCAGGGAGTAACATGGTATGATCGGACCGGCCCCTGCACCCCCCCCCCCCCATTCCCCTCTGTGACAGCTAGCGGGGGACAGCTGTCACAATTATAAAAAAAAAAAAAAACCGTGGCCGGGCGGTGCATTCTGTGAATGAGCAAACTGCAAGTTCCGACAGCCTTTGCAGTTGTCGGCTTGTAGTTGTCAATGAACTGCTGTGGAACACCGTGGCAGTTCACTGAGTCTTCCTGTCAGTATGTATCTGCTTGCCCGTACGGGCTGTACGAGCAAGCAGATACAGTGACAGGTCAGAGGGAGACCTGAATGTCACCAGTGATCCACTGATTGCTGGTGCAATGCTTTAGGCTCCAGGAACAAAAAAATTTGATTTTTTTTCTACATACTTACCTGTAAAATCCATGTCTTGGAGTACATTACGGGACACAGAGCAGGCTATGTGGATTATATGCCACCTATTGGTGAAAGGGAACTGGCCGACGAATCAGAAAGGAGGTTCTCCCCTATATAACCCCTCCTACACAGGAAGTACTTCAGTTTTTGTAGCAAGCAATGAAAAATCCAGAAAGAGGGCCAGGACCTCTGTGTCCCGTGATGTACTCCAAGAAATGTATTTTACAGGTAAGTACAGTATGTAGAAAAATCCAGTTTTCTTTATTGTACATCACGGGACACAGATCAGGCTATTTATGACTATATGGAATGTCCCAAAGCAATAAAGAAATTTGAGGGGAGGGTGACACCATGATAGCCACCGTCACTAATCCCTCAGGACCTACTCAGCCATGCGTAAAACACTGCAGCCAAAGGCAGAATCCTCTATGGCTCTGTCATCCCCCTGATAAAACCTTGTGAATGTATGAAGTGAAGGCCATGTAGTGGCCTTGAAAACCTGAGCCACTAACACCTGATGGCGGATTGCCCAAGATTCCCCACACTTCTGGTAGGAGTGTGCCTTCACCCAAAAGGGTGGAATATTACCTTTCAAACCACAGGCTTGAATGATCAACTGGTGGATCCAATGTGAAATAGTCGCCTTTGATGCCGCCTGCCCCTTCCTTGGCCCCTCTAGCAGCACAAACAGAGCATCTGACCTCCTTACCTGTGCTGTCACCTTCATGAAGACCCTTACAGCGCATACCACATCTAAGGTATGCAGAGATGCTGAATGAGGCCTAGGAAAGAATGAAGGCAGAATGATGTCCTGATTGAGATGAACTAGAAACCACCTTTGGTAAAAAAAAGTTGGTTGAGGTCGCAAGACCACCTTATCATGATGCAAAGCCAGAAATGGTTCTCTGCAAGATAGAGCTGCCAGTTCCGACACCCTTCTTGCAGAAGTGATTGCCACTAAAAACAAAACCTTAGGAGTCAACAGGACCAGTGGAATCTCTCTAATAGGCTCAAATGGTGGTTTCTGCAAAACCTCCAGAACCAAGTTCAGGTCCCAAGGACACAAAGGGAACCTGACAGGAGGAGCAATACGCATTACACCCTGTAAAAAAGTGCAAACCAAATAGTAAGATGCAATGGGCCTCTGGGAAAAAAAAACAGCTAATGCTGAAACCTAGCCCTTAAATGGTACCAAAAGCCAAATTCTTCTCCAACCCTGTTAGAAGAAACAACAGAATCCTACCATTTTCGGACCTCGCACCAGGAAATGTAAACCTTCCAAGTTTTGTAATAAATGTTCCTAGAGACTACCTTTCTAGCATCCAACATGATGGGGATGACGAAATCCGATACTCCCCTTTTCAGCAGCTGCCACTGCTGGCTGTGCGGTAGTTTAGAACATGCCAGGGAGAAGGAGACTTTAAGGAGAGACTACAGAAGAGGATGCATTGGAAAGGCCTGAGTACTCTGTGGAGGTTTCAAAGAGTCCAGAGAAGAATAGGTAATCTCAGAGTCTTCTATCGGAGTTAGCCTGAATCCAGATTGTACCATTAGTGAGGTCCTGGACTAATAAACTCTTAGATTGGGAGACATAGACTGCCTGCTTCTCCTTAGGCTGTGACCGCTCAGATAAAGATTCTACTGTCTGACCTTCCTCCAGTGCTTCCTCATCCTCAAGTTCCACCCATTCCTGCTCCAGGATTGGTGGTTCTAGTGACGGGGATCTCTCCCGCTTCTTTGTCCCCTGAGAAACTGATGCAATCATCCCTGTGATCATATCCTCTAAACCCACTAAGGCTGAAGCAAGATCATCCTTGGTTACATATGCCGAGGCAATGCCAGATAAATGCAGTGATTCAGATTGCCCAGTCACTTCTGGCCTCTCAGGAGAGGATATTACAGCGGACAATCGGCTAAGTTCCTCAGGACCTGGTGGTGGCACATTACTGCCCTTTCCTGTTGTGGCTCTCCCACTACGCTTTTTGGAAGACATTACTTCAGATAGCGTAAAAACCTGTGCACCTCCAATAGTAAACACAGACCACAAGGTACAGCTATGCAAGTAGCGTGCTGAAGAAAACACTCAATGCAAATTGCTGACCTTATGGGCACCAAAGGTGGCTCTTGACTGACTGACCAACACTCCTTCCCCCTCAGCGAGTACTCACGTGCCCCACTGAATAGCCTGCTCTGTGTCCCAGCCACAGGAACCCTTCAGCGACAGCAGCAGCAGCCCACATGTGCCCAGGGCTCCTGATGAATAAATATGTCCGACTTCAGTTTCCGGTGGCTATTGCGCATGCGTGCACACGCACGCCTGCCTGCCGAATGCTTGCGCCCCACAGTCAATGGCCGGCCACGCTCCTAGAGACCAAAATGCTCCCTCTAGTGGCCCTAACAGAAATAACAGGCAAGCATGTCCTGGGCTAAAATGTTGTGAGCACTCACCCTGGTGGAAACTTTGCCAAACAAACAATACCTCTCCTTTTCCCTTCAAATTTGAGCTTTGTTTTTTTTTTTAGATAAAAAATATAGCTTACCAGTCCCACTGCAGGTCCCTGACTGCCGCCAGGCACCACCCCTCGACCATCATGGCAGTTATTGTCATAAGGACCTTAAAGGACCCGGTTCCCATAAAGTGGGGCCACTGCCTTGGACCTGTATAGCACCCTGCTGGAAAGCACCTTGTTTAGATTTTAAAACTGCACAGGGTTTCATCTACGCAGGGTCCAGTGCCATAAGGCTGCATTACAGGCAAACCCAGAGGATTCTTCTCCTTATCCAGCGAGGCTCGGGTACCATCTATTTTGGCTCACAGCTTTCCAAATGGATCCAATTAAAGTCCATGATTCTTGAAGGAACCATACCAGACCTTAGATATGCTCCAGGAGCACAAGCAACACTTTCAGTCACCATCCACCTTACAGACACTAGCAAAAAAAACTGAAGTATTTCCTGTGTAGGAGGGGCTATATAGGGGAGGACCTCCTCTCTGATTGGTGAGCCAGTGTCCATTCACCTATAGGTGGCATATAACCCACATAGTCTTGAATAGCCTGCTCTGTGTCCCGGGATGTACGATAAAGAAATAATAAATGCACATTTTTTTACCTGCAAAAAAAGTGCATTAATTATTTTTTGTTAATAGGTGAACTTATCCTTTAAATCAGACTGTATTGATCAAAGTCATGTTTCAGGCTACCTTAACTTTAGTCACAGACTAAGATATGGACATATGTTTAGCCCGTGGATATGTCTAAGGACATATGCAAAAGCATACATCTACCTGTTACTATATTCAATAAAGTCAGCCTTAAAAAGTATCTTTGCTGCAGTGTTGGTCATCTGCTTGTTACACAATAAATGGTGTGTTTATTTCCACAAAAAGTAATCATATCATTTTACATACAAATATTAACAGAAGCTCATGAACTTTGATCACATACTATAAAAGTTAAGGATTATTACAGCACCAATCATTGTTACTTTATACTGCCCTTACTCACCAGCATGCTCATTGAACCCACAGCCATAGGTTTTTCCCTCAGCTCAGGACTGTCTCTCATTTCTACAGCTGCATAAAAAGCATCCATATCTACATGTACAATAACATGACTCAAATTTCGCCTTCTCTCCAGCTCCAGTGCCATTCGATCAACCTGCCCAAGAAAGAAGAAGACATGTAAAAGAGTATGGATAACAACAATATTAACATGTGCACAAAAGCACATAAATAAAGCGCTTGCAATAAATTGTTGGCTATAAAGTTCAAGAGTCCATTGCAGTGGAATAAAATAGCAACAAAAGGGTAGCAGAGAATCTGCAACCTGGAGGTGAAGTGGCAGAAAAGGGCTGTGAGAGAGCCATGTGCAAAAAGTGGAGATCAAAGAGACAATGGATCCACCAGGTGGAAGGGTTAAAGACTGGGATCAGCAGCTCTTGGTGAGATCAGATCAGGGGGAAATCCGTGGTACATGTAAAAAAGACAATTGTCAAGCCGCTGGATTAATAAAAGACAACAATGATTATTAAACAACAATATCCAAACTTATACTGGGGTATCAGGAGAGCAGCTCTGAGGATGAGGGTGGGATAGGAGCAAATCGCAGAGTGCCAAGGATCACTGAGCTGATGGATAGAGTGCTGGGCTGCCATAAATCACGTTACTGTCAGCGTCAATGTATAACTCCCTATGTCACTCTGTGAAACATCCAATACCACAGTGGTAGGTTAGGGGATATATGTGTTTAGGGGCTCCGCCACTTTGTCAAAGCAGGGAACCTTATTTGGAGTTCACTCCCTCCAACCGTCCAGGGAAAAAGAAGGCAAAAAAAAAAAAAAAAAAAAAAAACCCCAATCCAATAAAAATACTACTTCAATTTGTCCTCCCACATATTATCCCCACAAGAGAGTGATTTATTGGAAAAGAGACTTATTTTTCACCACCCAAAAAGGACTTTGACAAACATGCATGCCCATTCATCTCCCGCTGTGGTATTGCATACTGTTCAACTGATGTACACCCTCATCCATGGGGCTGCTCTCCTGATACCCCAGTGTAAGCTTGGATATTGTTGTTCAATAAACATTCTTGTCATTTACTGATCCAGGGCAATTGTCTATTTAAAAAGTGTATCTAGATTAGCCTTCCTCAGCTTTATTTTAACACAGAGGAACCATTATATTAACGTTCTGGTTTCATGGAACCCCAGCAAATAATTATTTAAACTACAGCTCATGGTACATTAGCATCAAGGTCAGTGGAAAGAATTCTCCCTATATTGGTGGCCAGTGAAAAGAATCTCCCTTACAGAAAACTGAAAGGTTATTTGTGCTAGTGTTCCAGCATGACAATGACCCAAAACATACCCCAAGTTAAAAAAGGAGTGGTTCAAGAAGAAGCACATGAAGGTCATGGAGTGGCCTAGCCAGTCTCCAGACCTTAATCCTATAGAAAATTTATGGAGGAAGTTGAAACTGGCACTGCAGCAAGGCGAAGGCGAGTCAGGCTGTCAGTGTGTCTTTCCCCCCAGCTCGCCCCACCCTTTTTTCTCTGTCAGGAGCACATGAGGTAGAGAGAGAGAGACGCTCTGAATATGCTCTCCGGCCATTTGACCCCTCCCTCACTACCTTTCACTTTGGCCAGAGCCAGGGACCAATAGGGGAACAGGACTGGTGCACCACGGTACATTTAGTTTCAGAAGAGAGGCTGTCCACAGGATTCAATGGGGCATGTACTACAGCCCCAAGCATGCCCAGTAGCCCGGGAAAAAGAAGAGGAGGGGCAGAGACCCACGAGAGGGTGAGAGCCACCCTGCCCAGAAAGCCACCGGAGAGAGATCTGGAGTGTGGCGTGGGCTGGCTTGGCCGCTTGATCCAGAGAGCTATTCTGCCAGCAGGTGACCGGACGGAACGCTGCAGGGCGGACCGGAGAGTGCGTGGAGGCCCCATCTGGAGAGAGAGAAAGGCCGCCAGAATTTGCCAGATGCCATACCTCGGGTGAGGGAGTTTCAAGCATTACCAAGCAAAGGGAACATTGACACTGCTCCACATTTGTGATTTTCCTGCACACAGTTGCGGACATTGCACATAGTTACTATAGGTTGCGGCCTAGTTCCTCCAGCCGCTTTTGTTTGACCACACTCAACACAGCCTTATCATCAGCACTGATAGCAGGCAGCCATTCCACAGGCCGGACCACAGTTGTGTAGCCACCATCATCAATTGACCCCTTCAAAGTGGCCTTTGCCTACTGTGACAACAGCCTTACAGTCTAGAGAGGAGCTGCCCTGCATCTACAATCACTTCTGCCAGCTTAACATCTTATTGCTTTAGATCTACTAGTGACCAGTGTCTTAAAGATAGAATTACACCAGTCAATTGCTGCTTTCAGGGGGTGTGCTTTTCTTTGTTGCATTGTTCCTCAGAGAGCCATTATTCACACTTCCCCTCATTTTACACCAACTGAGCCCCATCACGTGTGCAAAAGAATCTTCACTGCCACCGTATTTAGGAGAACATTGTTTTTTTTTGGGGTAAAGAGCTCTTATTTCAGGCTACCTCCCTGCCATCAGGTCCTGAGAGACCCAAGTGAGCTAGTCTACCTGTTTGATAGGTCTTATTGCTCACTGGGGACTGTAAAGCCACCTCAGGCTGAAGGAATTGGGTTAGTTTCAGAAAAGCAGGCCTGGTAACACTAACTGAGACTCTGTGATAAGTGTCTTTTTCTTTCCTTTGTTTAAAGCTGATACAACTGACTCTGCATCTGCCAATCCTGTCCACATTGAAGTTTTCTATAAACCTCATAACAGTTTACTCCGATCCGTGTGCGAGTTTACTTTCTGGTACAGATTTATTCAACTAGGTGTGCCTGAACGGTTTGAGGGTGTTCTTTGAGTCGAGGTGCAGAACAGTGAACCCAAAATCACCAAGTGGCTCCTTCAAGGGGGGTAGCGCTACATCAGAATCTGATCACTACTCTGTCTCCTAACCCCTTTCCATTGAGACATTACCATAAAGAGGAATGCTTGTCGTTCAACAGAGATTCCTTGTTCCTCTCTGGAGGACAGCAGGGTAGCAGATACTGTTGTGTCGCATAGAACATTATCAATTAGGGTGCATTTTGTGCTGTCCTGTCGATGCTCTTGGCTTGCATCTGTGTGCACTCAAATTTAGGAGGTAGATCTCCACGCACTATGAAGCTGACATTTGTCTCAAAATACAGACCACAGCACATTCACCTTTTCTTTGCCATGTTAGGCTAGATATCATACTGGCTCAGTCAAATAATTAACATTCTAAAAGAGCCAACATGAATGAGGGTTCATCAATATATACATTTACTGAGTATTCACAGATGTTTTTAAATAAGCATAAAGCATTTGATTATATGTATTAATGAGTTGGTAAGCATCATAATTTATTTATTAAACAGGCAGATGGCAGATGCTAATATGGGATGCTCAGTAATCAGTCGCTGCAGGAGATAAAGAACCTGTATCACAAAGAGGCCTCTCATGATGTTACTCTCCTACTCTCCCAATTGGCTAAATCTGTTGCCAGGAGACACTGTGGCCTAATTAGTTTCTTATATTTAATATATTTACATAAGGCTCACTTTATTTTCTTTAGTCCACGAAAAGTGGATTTTTAACTTACAATAAAAAAAACAGCTACTTGCTTCCTGTATACTACCATATGAACAACAAAATCTTGTCACCTTTTAAGCATCAGATACCTGTGCAATGGAGGCCACCACTGTCAGATTCCCAATTTGCATGCTAATTTCATGGCAGTGCAGCACCTTTTTCAGCATTACTGCAAGTCCAATACTGCTTTGCAAGTCAGGCAGTAGCAGTGTTCAGTAGACAGGTATTTATAACTTACAAAAAATATTCTTAGATTGAAAAAAAGAAAAACTAAGACATCTGCCACATCTATGGACTGGTAAACTACAATATATTTTAATTCTGTTCTTGGGTTTAGATATATTTATTAAGTACAATGGTTTTGCCTGAGAACTATTTTTTTTTTTCGCCGTTTAACCCCTGATCTCTCATTCTGCAGCTAATAAACCTTTAAATTTTCTTTGAAGCGGATTCTTACATCAACAGGTAAATTAAGGGAAATTACCAAAACTGGAGCAGATGTGCATGGCAACCAATCAGAATAATTTCCAATGCTTAAAGATGAATTCAGGGTATGGATATTTTTACATAGTTACATTGATCCAGCTGGGATCAATTTAAGCATACAAATTCCATACCTGGTTGATCCTTGTGGAAGCTGCTTTCTACAGGGATCCTCACCCTCTTCCAGGTCCCATGCCAAACAGCTGCCCTGCTGTATAGTGAACACACGGGGTCACTCAGCAGTTCAGACTGCTAGGAAACAAAATAGCAATGTTTATTGTGTTTTTTTTTTTTTTTTTGGTATAGGTATCAGTAGTGGGATTGTTGTTAAAATGGTGGTCAGAGAGCAAATGATTTTGTTAGGGACCCCACCTCTGATTCCTATTATAACACAATTATAGTTTGCAATGCCTGTATAGGTTGTATACAAATTAAAGTAATTGTAAAAATACATTGGCGATGCTGACCAATCAAAAGCTGTCTAGCCTGTACTGTCATCCCTGCACTGAGAGGAGAAAAAGCCGCAGGGATTTCAAATCAGCTTTTCCTTCGGTGACAGTATGGGATCGGTGCAGGGAGGTTTCCCGCACCGCTCCTGTTTGAACTCAGGCTATTACAAGTCCACATTACAAGTTCACACAGCAATAGACGGGTTCTACCTAGGAATGCACCGATACCCTTTTTTTTTTATCGGCAAAGTATGAATACTGATACTTTCGGTCAAGTACTCAACGATAACGAGTACCGATACTTTGCCGTGCGATTTGCTTAGTTACAAAATGTATTGATACAAATTGCACCACAAAGAACAGCATGCAATCTGGACAGAAATTGCATTCCTTTTCAAATCACATGCTATTCTTTGTGGTGCAATTTGTATCAATACATTTTGTAACAAAGCAAATTGCACGGCAAAGTATTGGTACTCGGTATCGTTGAGTACTTGACCGAAAGTATCAGTATTCAAACTTTGCCGAAAAAAAAAAAGGGTATCGGTGCATTCCTAGGTATAACCCATCTATTTATTTTTTTTTTGCCATTTGTGTCCCTTTGGGGATATTTACTTTCACTTCCTGTCCCATATCCAAACCAGGAAGTGAGAGGAAATCCCAGCAAATTAGGGGAATCGCTTGGGGACCCCCAGGTCACCAAAACTAGTGTCCCCATTGGAAGATTTCCCCTCCATTACTTTCCTGGGGACAACCCAAAATTTGTGATTTGCTTTTAGTTTTACTTTCAATGATAATGTTAAACAGGGCAAATTAGAGAGGATGAATTCCACTAATCAGGACACAGACAGCAATAAAAACTGACAGGTGTTCTAATCCATCTCCACTCTGTCCAAAATGTAAAAAAAAAATGTTGATTTTAGCTGTACTTTAATACACAATTTGTGCATTTAATTAAAGGAGAAGTACAGCTAAAGCTCTTTTGGCTGTACTTCTCCTGTGGATCACAGGAGTGCAGTTCATTCTGCACTCCTGTGACCTGTTTTCAGCTGACAGTGGGCTGAAGCTCGCTGACGGCTGATGTCACTCAGCCAGTTCAGGTTGGGGAAAGATCCCGATTTCAAAGTCGGGATCCATCCCAGAGTCTGGAGCTGCACCAGTGGGGGGGGGGGGGGGGGGGGGGTTCTCAGAGCAGACAGCTGCGACTGACAGTCCTGTTCTCTGCTCAGAGCGACTGTGAGAACTCAGCGATCAGCGGTCATGTGATTGCTGAGTTCTCACACTTAGAGCCGCTGGGGGACAGATGCTGCATCAGATTGATATTGCATCCTCCGAGGTAAGTATACTTTGGGAAAAAAAAAAAGTTCACACTTCTCTTTTAAGTATCAGGATTGCTAGTACCTCAATTTAATCAGAAACCAACCTTTTGTAATCCTCTGTACAGCAGTATCCAGACTAAAGCTGCCTATACATGGTGATTTTTTTTTCATTTTTTTCTGATTCCTCCCTCCAATCTAAACACCCTTCTCCCCCTCTCCTCTTCCCACACGCTTGTCTGGCATTGTATTCTAAAACTGGTACCAGACTTTTTCTTTTCTGCTTAGTAGACCACTGTCTAGCAGGGGAGCCCAGACACTGAAATTTGGACAGTCCCTGCTGGGGAGAGGGAGAAGCAGCACAAGGAAACAGTCAGCTGTGCTGCAGTGCCCATATGCTAACAAAGAACACGTTGACATGAGGAGAGAGCAGAGTGACAAGAAGATGAGCTCGCCATTTTGCTGCTTCTACTTTCACTGTCGAGTCACAGGCTTACACAAGACCTGTAAGTAATACTTAACTGCACAAGAGAAAAACATTAGGTCCCAGACAAGACTCTGCTATGTGTCAGAGCTGTGCAAATCTCAGGATCGGACGGACAAAAATACTAATCTTTTGGCAAGTAAAACAGCTCTTATATATGTGTCTTGCAATTGCCTATTTGGCTGTTTGCATTGAGTTCAGATTCAATATTATAATAATGAACCATATTAAAGAAATCGTACGGGAGCAGAAACAAAAAGCTCTGCACAGTTTCAGGAAACAGTAAAATAATCATCTTACTAGACACAGCAAAACTCTGCCGAATAGAGTTTCAGACAAATCTAGATATTATAATAACCACAAACTGTGGCACCAAGCTAATAATCACAATACATTTCATAGCCAAACCACACAGCCTGCACCCAATATGCGGCGGTTGTTTGACGCTCCTGATTTGTTTTTGATAACAGCGTGTTTCTTCACTCTGGTGTTAATGAGTGTGTGCATTCCAGCTTTGTCTTATGATTTCCAAGTCTTCTAAACCTCTTGATGCAAGCATGACCAGAACCTATGACTGGCTCCGCACTCCTCTGATGAACAAAAGGAGATCTATCTCAGCGCTCACAGTCAAGCTCTGTTTAACCTTGACCTTCAGGATTTTGTGCAAGCAATGAACACAAAGCAAACACAAAATAAAGAATGTTTTCAAGCAGAACTCCTTTCAGCCCTGTTCCGTTTAAATGCTTATTCATGGTACTAACATTTTTGTTATAATGTGATTAAAGAAAAACTCCCTAACTCCCTTATCTAAAAAATACCACACAAACTGTAAAACCTACAGAAACTGTACCTACAATAAAATGTACCACACAAACTGTACCTACTATAAAATGTAAAGCCCAACTCCAGGTTCAGGTTTTTCCCTCCTGCAGTACATTATGCTTTAATTTGGTTTATACTTACAGTACCTTTTCCAGATGTCCACGTGTCACATGAGAAATTGGAACCTCTCTGTACCTGCATTGGGCAGTGTTGGACAATGCATTCACAATACCTCCTCAGGTTTACTTTATTTTATTTTAATTGTATTTTTAAGCACTTGATGGGGCACCATTTTATTTTTTTTCCCAGAGCTAGCCTTACAATTGCTACAATCTTATCTCCAAAAGAAAAACCAAAACCAATTCCTTGTATCCTCATTAAGATACACAAGGAAAAAGTAGCTTTTGGCATGTGTATGCTCCTCTCGCTGTACATCATAACAGAAGAGGTCTGATACAGGGAAAAAAAATCATAAAGACAGTAGGGGAGGTATCTACTTAGTGTCCTGTCCAAAAAGTTAATGATAAAATTAAGGGCAGATGCATTACTAGCAAGAATTTTGAGTACTAGAGAGTTGATAAAATACAAACGTTGAGAGCAGTATGAGACCAGCGAAGAATGCAAGAAGTCTGCGTTCCACGTATCTGCTTCTAGGTAGATACTGCCCTAAATGTTTGTGCTACCAGGTTCCTTTTCTGTTTGCAGCAGCCGTCAGCCTCTCAGTTTGACAAGCTTCCGGCAATGGAGCTGGACTGGACTCCTGTGCTCTATGCCCGCAGGGAAATGCCAGAGCCCCATGCAGCAGGGATAAATGCACATTATGCATGGGGCCTAACTGCTTGAATGTTCTTTAGGTTTTTCCTCATAGGATCTAATGTCACATTTGCCCTGTGAAAGGCAGCAATTTTAAGCTGACATTTCACAATTGCAAACATAATGGGTGACTTTTGCAGGTATACTGAGACACACAGCAATTTTTTTTTTTATAACCAGACCCCTTAGTATTTCTATGCACCTTAAAATTCCCGACAGGTGAATATCCGACATGTAATACCCCACATTAAAAGAATCCCACTACTGATACTTTAGAAATTTAAAAAATCTGGATCTCTATAGTTAATTGTTTTATTTTTTTTTTACCTGTCTATATGCTTTGGTACAAGTTTTGATATATTTTTGTAATAGTAATGTGCTGATATTAGCTTTATTTGTTATAATTACACACAGGTGTTCTGTTTGGATTCTCTTTCTCCCAGCAAATTGGAAGAAAAGGTTATACCTCTGCACATTTTTATGTATGCATTAGCTACAACTAAAGGCTGTTTTGATCTGAAACATGTAAGAAGACCATTTGATGTAAGCTGTATTTAAGAAATATTGGAACTAATTGCTGTGTGCAGGAGTTTCAGAATATATTTCAAGAGGAAAACCTCTGTTGAGCACCAATGTTTTCTTGACTTTTATAACCTCTTAAGGTAGGATGGGTATGCATGGTTTCCATTTAAAAGAAAAATCAGTTGAATAAAAAAAATTGGGGGTGAGAGAAGAATGAAGGAGAAGAAAACAAAATACTTGTAATTAGTTCCTCATCTGTATCCATTTTATATTTGGTCTTCACCAGTGTCATATCGACTAAGGAGGCTTTTTGTGGTATGGCGATGAAAATTTGCACAACCAAAAAGAATTTATGAAATTAGTTTTTGATGTCTCTTCAAAATACTTTGTAATAGTTTATCCAATAGAGGCTCTGTTGGGTTCTTTGCTAGATCAGTGGATGCATCAAGGTATATACTTATCTAAAATTTCCCATCTTGGGGCCTTTTCCCCAAATGTGGCACATGTTCTCCAGTTGTTCACATTTGTGAAAACATTTTAACTTTAGGTTAGGAGCCATTTGTATCAGCCTTGAAGGAACAAGATACCATTTCATTTGGATTTTGAACTATTTTTTTCTATTTCTTCCCTTAATTTGTGTTCACAAATCAAGCTCCAGGAATTCCCTAGCATCCCTAGCTCTTTGCAAGATGTTTTTGTCCGTGGCCACCCTATGCTTCCAAATAAATGAGTTAGCAGAAAACCTTGCCAAGTTTTCGGATTTCTCTGGTAAAGTGGAGAGGTCTTAAATTTTGGCAAAGACAATTGGATTTCTTTCAAATATTGATCAGCAACAATAAGCAAATTTTATTTAAGAAAGTATTACCTTTAATAAAAGTTACTGAAATTATATAAAAAAATAACAAAAACAGAGGTAAACACATAAGTACCTGAATTTGAGCTTTATTGATTTGTGAACTGGTCAGCAGGGCTTTTTGTTGAAGCATTTTCTCAATACGCTGCTTAACTTGCTGGTCTTTTTTTAGCTCATTTTCATAAAATCTGGAGCCCTGCAAAACAAATATGACTGTACCTTATCTATAGTACTATACGGAAATAACTTATTGTGAGGCGTTTTTAACATCTTGAAAATATAAAATTCCCATCTTAAAAAAAATATTAAATTTAATAGGCTTATCTCATTTTTTGGTATAAGCCAGAGCTAATGGCAAGTCAGGCACATATGACATTTGGCCTAATATTATGAAATCTGTTCTCAGCTTGTATTTCAGCTTTTTTGATGGTGCTAAAAGAAAACCCTTGTTTACAGAATTAAATATGGGTCATCATGTCATCAATACCAGAATAAGAAATCTGAACTGGTAGAACTGTGTAGAGTAACGTCACAAAACAAAGAAAAGACATTAAAAGCTGGCCATACATGGTTTGAAATTTGTCTGGTTCAGCAGGGAGCGGGGAGGTTGCACAGAAGTCAGTTGACTCAATTCCACCATCCACGTACTCAATGTGGATGGCGGAATCCTGTCTTCAAAGATATTTTATTCTGACAGTGTTGAGACTTCCCTGCCATTAGAACACACTGATCAGCGGAAATGGCTATAGCTGGCAGTGCCGATCAAGTGGCAAAAATCCAACAGGGCCATTGTACAGAAGTCAATCAGGATAACCTCCCTGCCCATACATGGATCGAAATTTGGCCAGTCCTGCTGAATAGCCGGTAGCACTGATCTGTGTATTCTGACAACAGGGAAGTCTCTCCACTGTCGGAGTACAATAGCTCAGAAGCTGTGATTCCTGCATCACATCAAGTGAGTGGATGGGGGAATCGAGTCAGTTTTTTTGTTCATATAAATATAAATATGCTCAGTGACAATTAATAAAAGAAACCTTTCATTATATAATAATTTCAAAAATCCAAAATCTATAATTTTTCAAATTAAAGTCCAATTTCAAATTAAAGTCCAATATCACAATAAAATAAATAAATAAGTGTAGTCCAAAAATTGATTCAAGTGTAAAAACTCTCCGCTGCTTGCAAAAACTTGATTACCTCAAAAAAAAACAAAATATACATAGTGCATTATCCTTTATAAATAAAAATTTACATGTGAAATCATTCCGGTAATATTCACCCAAGTGAAAACACGTGTATATATATCAAACCACATACACATGCGATATACTGTGCAAAACCATGCATGTGAAACACTCTACTGTGCTAAAAAACTCATGACACAGTGCACACTTCTATCAGGGTAAGGAGTGAATACCCTTACCAATATTCAAAGCAATTTATATTTTTGATCTCAATCCACAGAAATTGCCTGATGATATAAATCCTTTTGAAGATTACCTCAGGGTTTGCTTTGATCCTATGATACTGTATGGATCCTTCCACCCTAGCAACTCAGATATGTTTCCACCATATACGCCAGTCAGATACCCATATATAAGGAACAAATCATAGCGTGATACTGCCACATACTAAGATCCAAAACTTTTAATCATCCTGCTTACATTAAAAACATCTTTCCATTGCATATAGCATATAAAGACCTGTCTGCCATCCGGAATCCAGGAGAGTCCTAATCGCAAGTCACAGCAAGTCATTGGCAGTTTTGGTGTCTGCAGTGAGGAGATCTGGATGTTCCCTGGAAATGCCAATAATCTGACTTTGAGCTGCTAGAATCAGACTTCACAGGTCATAGAGAAACAACCAGCTATTTCTTCAGAGCAACAAAATGCAGGAATCTGACAATCGTACCCTTTATGATTACGTCCAATGACGAAACGCGTCAAAGGGAGGTGACGTCAGACGCATACGAGAATACTGGAAGTGGAGCGGCGGCCATCTTGGATAGGGCAAAAATCGGCTGTGACTTGCGATTAGGACTCTCCTGGATTCTGGATGGCAGACAGGTCTTTATAGGCTATATGCGATGGAAAGATGTTTTTAATGTAAGCAGGATGATTAAAAGTTTTGGATCTTAGTATGTGGCAGTATCACGCTATGATTTGTTCCTTATATATGGGTATCTGACTGGCGTATATGGTGGAAACATATCTGAGTTGCTAGGGTGGAAGGATCCATACAGTATCATAGGATCAAAGCAAACCCTGAGGACATCTTCAAAAGGATTTATATCATCAGGCAATTTCTGTGGATTGAGATCAAAAACATAAATTGCTTTGAATATTGGTAAGGGTATTCACTCCTTACCCTGATAGAAGTGTGCACTGTGTCATGAGTTTTTTAGCACAGTAGAGTGTTTCACATGCATGGTTTTGCACAGTATATCGCATGTGTATGTGGTTTGATATATACACGTGTTTTCACTTGGGTGAATATTACCGGAATGATTTCACATGTAAATTTTTATTTATAAAGGATAATGCACTATGTATATTTTGTTTTTTTTGAGGTAATCAAGTTTTTGCAAGCAGCGGAGAGTTTTTACACTTGAATCAATTTTTGGACTACACGTATTTATTTATTTATTTTATTGTGATATTGGACTTTAATTTGAAATTGGACTTTAATTTGAAAAATTATAGATTTTGGATTTTTGAAGTTATTATATAATGAAAGGTTTCTTTTATTAATTGTCACTGAGCATATTTATATTTATATTTGTACACCTCTAAGGGTAGAGGTGAAGTGTGCTTACAAAGAGTTGGGGAGAATTAGTGATCTACATTTATTCGTTTTTTTGTTCAACCTGCTGATTCACCAAATCTCCATCAATAACAAATGTCAAGATCTTAAAGTAGAAGTCTGATCTAATCCAAGCTTAAAACGTGCTCCCACTCTCATTCTAAGCCCTAAAAAAACTTTCCTAGTAAAGGAAAGATGTCCATACTTACCCAATTTAAGCATGTTTCGGTAGGGTCACATGATCAGCTCCCAGCGCCAGCTTCAGGGGTTGAGAAGAAACAGCAAGCAACTGATGCCCCATAGTAAGCCTATGGGTAATATCACCTTCCAGGCTTTGCAGCCATTGTCACTGCTCTCTCCTGTCCCTGGAAGCGGGCTTCTGGGGAGATCACATGACCAGACTGGAGCACCTTTAAAATAGGTAAATATAAACATCTTTCCTTTACAGGCTAGTTAGTATAGAGTTAAGAATAGGGGTGGGAAAAGGTTTAAGCTTACATTAGACCAGACTTCTACTTTAAGACCTTGAAATTTGCTACTGCTGGAAGTTTGCTGTAAGAGAAAGTACAATGTGTTCGGTCTATTGCTCAGAAAAGGTGTATTCAGATCCTTCTCCCATTTGTGGAGAAAAGAGTCAGGGGATTGCTGGATGTTAGATAAGAGTAATTGATGCAATGTGGAAACTGCACTTTAAGGGCTCTTGTTGGAAGCAGATATCTTCAAAGGTTTTTAGTGTCCTGTATTGACAGAAAAAGGATTTGCCTGGTACCTATGAATCCTACCCATGGTGCCCCCAAGAGGGGGAAGGGTGCACAGTTATGTTTAAAGTTACACCCAGAGCTTGGACCCTGTATGGCAGCACCAGCAGATTTTATGGGTCAGGTAAGTGATGGTATGGTAAAGCTAATCCCACCCTTGGATTTGGGTAAAAGGCAGATGTCCTTAAAAGCCCAAGGTGACTCACTTGCCCACATAAACCTAAATAAATGCTGAGCAATACATTTTTAAAACGTATTGGGAGACCTGTACTGGCAGTGCTTGTAGGAAGTACCAGGTAAACGTGGTTTATGACCATTTGAATAGAAAATATTGCTTCAAATGGTCCCCTAGTTCTGGTGATAAGGATATCACCCTGATTGGTGATAAGGCCCCTGATTTTATAGTTAGAGAAGTAATTGTTTTATATAAAAAACAGGAGGTCATCAGCGTAGGCTGCAGTTTTATGGGTGATATTCCCTACCTTCGACCCTTGGATTTCCTAATGTATCTGAGAAATGGTTCCAAAGTTAAGAGGTGAAAGTGGACAGCCTTGGTGGGTGCTGTTAGCAATTAGAAATACTGTGGATGGGGTAGGGTTTATTTTGATGTCATGAGTGAGGAGTATAGGGATCCAATCTACTGTAACATATGAGGGGAAAGCTCAATATGTCACAGTGTTGAGTCAAGAAAATCCTAATCTACTTGAATGAAAACCTCCTCACTCATGTGGAGTTGAAGCAGAGGGATGGTTTTCGATCTTGCATGAACGATTTGGTCAAGGGTTCTGGTCGTGTTATTTCTGACTTCACAAGAAGACATAAATCCAGCTTCGTCGAGATGAATAATGCCAGGCAGAAAAGGTTTGAGATGATTCGTAAGAATTCTGACGAATATTCTAATGCTGCAGTTTAAAATGGAAATAGGTCTGTAACTAGCACAGGCCTTTAGATGTTTGCCAGGCTTTGCATGATGTGTGCATACAACATGTCCATGGAAAAGGGGTGTCTCTCGCAATAAGTAAAAACAAAGCATGTGGAGCCAAGCAAGGGAGAAAATGTTCATAATAGTATAAGGTAAAGCCATCAGGCCCTAGGCCCTGTTCATTTGCATGTTTGTAATGGCAGTTTGGAGTTCAGCACAGGTTATATGGGCATCTAGGCTTTTAATAGCTGTCGTTGAAGTAGAGGGTAGGCCAGACACTTCTAGATAAGCCTCAATACTGTCTGATCTGGGGTTGCCATTGTGCATGGCTGCATTGTTTGGCAGGTTATATACAGGTGAAACTCGAAAAATTAGAATATCGTGCAAAAGTTCATTTATTTCAGTAATGCAACTTAAAAGGTGAAACTAATATATTAGATAGACTCATTACATGCAAAGCAAGATAGTTCAAGCCATGATTTGTCATAATTGTGATGATTATGGCTTACAGCTCATGAAAACCCCAAATCCACAATCTCAGAAAATTAGAATATTACATGCAATCAATAAAACAAGGATTGTACATAGAACAATATTGGACCTCTGAAAAGCATAAGCATGCATATGTACTCAGTACTTGGTTTGGGCCCTGCTGGAAAATGAAGTCAGCATCCCCATAAAGCTTTTCCGCAGAAGTAAGCATGATGTGCTCCAAAATCTCCTGGTAGACGGTTACGTTGACCCTGGACTTAATGAAGCACAGTGGACCAACACCAGCAGATGACATGGCTCCCCAAATCAACACAGACTGTGGAAACTTCACACTGGACTTCAAGCATCTTGCAGTGTGAGTCTATCTCATATATTAGTTTCACCTTTTAAGTTGCATTACTGAAATTAAATAACTTTTTCACAATATTTTAATTTTTCACGTTTTACCTGTAGATTACTTTAGAAATCACCAAATGTCTTGGTATCATGTGTGAGTACCCAGGTGCTAGCAGAGATGGGGAATAAATATGGTACTCGTAAGGGGGCTGAGGGAGTTGGTCAAAGAGTGCCGCACTTGATTGCATATTTGTAGAATGTGCACTTGCACCTGGAAAGGGTGACTTAGGTTTATTCAGGCTTAGTGTTTTAAGTTCATCCTGTAAACGTGTCAACTCCTTATGTAACTATCTTTTTAGTGCAATGAAAAGTGTCAACCTCCAGGGACCTGCATATCAGTTTTCTTTTCTTTTAAGTATGTTCCTATGGTCATTAGCTCTGTCCCACCACATGCTTTAGTTCACTACTGGTCCATCATGGGCCACTAATAGTGAATCGAAGAGTAAGAGAGGCAGGCAGTGCAAAGCTGTGAAATAAATAGGAGTATATCTGAGCACCATTCATGATTTTGGATCGCTATACAAATAAAGAAAACAGAAATCTGGTGGTTTTTGGTCTTCAGACTTTTCTTGTGTAAGACTCCGTTCACATATCGCATACTGGGAACCAGCATTCTCACTACAAGTGTTTCAAAGTCTGATTCTCAAGTGATGAATTCACTTAAATGGGCTGCCCTATGCGTGTTTGTTGTCCGAAAAGGCGACAAGCTTCACATGATTTTTAAAGGCGCAGTATGCTGTGACTGCCATGCAATCACATTGGGTTTAGGGTGCTATTGAAGGATAATGAAACCCAAATGCGCACTGCACATTTTGCAGCACCTGCCATGCGATCTGGAATTACGAAGTGTGAATTGGCCCAAATGTCATCAATAGGTTTATATTAAGTGATTTTTCATATAGCTGCATTTGGTTACACAAAGAACAGTAAAAAAAAAAAAAAAAATAGTACATGGCTCTGATCCACAGTGAAGTGACATAAGTAAAATAATAATAGAAAAGGGCTTCTTTAAGTTGCTAACTAACTTTTGTAGCATCCATGATGATCTTGTTGATTTTCTCCTTATCCAGCCCCTCCATCCCTGCCTTGTTGTCATTGAGACCCATTCTGTATTGGAAGGCATCATTGCTAGGAGCAGTTTCTTTCTCATCTTTCTGATCCATTTTTTTAGATTTGTAATCTACGGGTCACAACCTGAAAAACAAACAAGCATTTTTATTGCCAATATACAGCTCACATTTCGACACAGTAATACTGAAATTGTGAGTATGCCAGATGAATGCTAGGTGGCTGCCTTTAGAGCATTTACTGTACATTCTCACACCCAACAAAAAAAAAGGCAAATGATTGTTACTGGAGTAGCCAGGTGCTGACAAAGTTCTTTGGGTAAAGACTAACTGTTTGCATCAATTAAGGTCTGACGGCAAGTCCCAGCATGTCCGCATATTGAGTTCTCATCGACTTCCACTGTCTCTTTCTGATTGACTTAGATCAGATGCCAAAGGCAGGAGAGTGTTCAAGAGAAGAAACACAGGATATGTAGTTCCATCAGATCTTGGTGGGACTGCTCTCAGCTGGGAAGGTGGCTACAGCTCCCAGGGGCCTTTGCAACCAAAGAGGGGAACAGGGGGAGAGGGGGAAACTTTTTCAAAGCCACCCGGGAAAACTAGAGGAACTTGGTGCCAAATCGGGCACAGGGACAGAGGGAAGAGCAGAATGTGGAGTCTGTAGCACCTGTTCCCCACACAGCCAGCTCCTCAACTGCCCAGTGACACAGGGAGGCACTGCCCATCTGTCTGCAGTCGCATCTGATGTGCACAGTGGAGCCACTGGTTCATCTACAGTGTTCTGGAATCAGACAGTAGAGTCACTGGTCTGTCCCCACAGAGACATAGGGACACCGATCGGGTTATGGAATCATCCTGAATGTGCAGAATACCCAAACAAGTCTATCCAAAGTCTATCTGCATAAGCACCCAATAGTTTCATCCGTTAAAAGGCCTACTGATATTTGACTAGGAGAGAACCAAGGAACTCCATCAGACATGCACCACTGTAAGGGCCCCAACCAACCCAACAAATTATAATTGTTCTCTGTCACAAAAGTTTTTAAAAAATACTTGTTCCATTTGAGGACTTTACTGAATTATGGTATCCTTACATGGAAAGTCTGTTATCAATTCCACTGCAAAGACCTGCAGGCAGACTTGGACTTCTAGGGGTCATGTTCTGGGTGTCTTGATGACGGCATGGCCAAAAAGGGGTCTTGTTCCTACAATCTGGCTGTCATTACTGTGCCCCCAGTGTCCCTGCTATGGTTTAAGCTGATTTAATAATTGGTATCACTATCTGGGCCCGATTGCTCATTATCTCCTCTGTTATCATTAACAGTATGAGGATAGAGTTAGGGGTTTTAATTTTTGCTATTTCTTGCTGGATTGTTATCTTTGTGTAAGCTGCCTTTTTGTAAGTATAATCGCAGCTTCACTTAAATTGGGGTCATAAATTCTTTGTCGTGTGTGTCAGAGTGGTCAATGAAGTAATATTGGGTGTTCGTGACTCGGCTCATTCTCAGAGGGCATAAATACTATGGGGGTAAGCTGCATAGGAAATCCATTGCTGGGTGACTAGACAAAGCATAAACAATCTACATACTTATGTAACTGTTTAGAGGAGTAATTCAAAAGAGGAGGTAAATTAAAATTCTTTTAGAAAATTTAACATACAGTAACATACATTGAAAATGCCTATTCATCACTCAGAGATGAAAAAACTTGAGGCTTTAGATGGACTTTATCTTCATTTTTACAACTGAATTTTCTTTTTACACTAGCACACTTCTCATCAACTCCTAAAGCTAGCCATACACTGTTAGATTTTGTCATTTATCCTGCAAACTGAATGAAAAAAAAGAAAAAATGTATGGTCTTTTCTTTGATGAGATACATACAGCAGGTAAAATAAGTACTGAACACATAACCATTTTTCTGGGTAAATATATTTCTAAAGCTGCTATTGACATGAAATGTTCACCACATATCGGTGACAACCCATGCAATCCATACATACAAAGAAACCAAAACAAAAAAGTTCAGAAACAAAGTTACGTGTAATAATATGGAATGACACAGGGAAAAAGTATTTAACACATGAAGAATGGGAGGTGCAAAGAGGCATGGAAAGACAGGACACCAGCTGATATCTATCAATAGTTAGAAAGCAATATTGTCAGTTAATTGATTAATATCAGCTGGTTCAGTCTCAACGGATGGCCTATAAAAAGGTGTCTAATTACCAAGGTGTCACACAAGAAACATCTCATGATAGGTAAAAGAAGAGATCTCTCAAGACCTTCACAACCTTATTGTTGCAAAACATGATGGCATTGGTTACAGGTTTTAAAAAAACAGCCACGACCAGGTGCTCCTCGCAAAAGTTCTGACAGAGGAGTGAAAATAACTATCAGAAGAGTTGTCCAAGAGCCAAAGACCACTTGTGGAGAGCTTCAGAAAGACCTGGAATAAGCAGGTACAATTGTTTCAAAGAAAGCAATAAGTAGTGCATTCACCCCCCATGGCCTGTAGCATGTTGAAGCTCATTTAAAGTTTGCTGCACAACATTTAGACAAGCCTGTGAAATACTGGGAGAATATAGTCTGGTCAGATGAGACCAAAAGTGAACTCTTTGGATGCCATAATACACACGATGTTTGGAGGCCAAATGGCACTGCACATCACCCCAAAAACACCATACCAACAGTGAAGTTTGGAGATGGGAACATCATGGTGTGGGGCTGTTTTTCAGCATACGATACTGACAAACTTCATATCATTGAAGGAAGGATGGATAGAAAAATGTACCAAGACATTCTTGATAAAAATCTGCTGCCATCTACCCGGCTGATGAAGATGAAATGAGGGTGGACATTTCAGCAAGACAACGATCCCAAACAAAAAGCCAACAAAATTCTCAGTTGGTTTCAAAGAAAGAAAATAAAGCTGCTAGAATGGCCCAGCCAAACACCTGACCTGAATCCAATAGAAAATCTATGGAAAAAACTAAAGATCAGAGTTCATAGAAGAGGCCCACAGAACTTTCAAGATCTGAGACTGTTTGTGCGGAAGAAAGGGCCAAAATCACATCGGAGCAATGCATGCAACTAGTTTCTCCATACAGGAGGTGTCTTAAAGCTGTCGTTACCAACAAAGGATTTGTTATGAAATATTAAATAAATTTCAGTTAGCGTGTTCAATACTTTTTCCCTGTGTCATTCCGTTTAAGTACACATAACTTAATTTCTGAACTTATTTGTTTTGGTTTCTCTGTATGTATAGATTGCATGGGTTGTTACCAACATGCGGTGAACACTTAGCATCTTTTGAAATGTATTTACCGAGAAAAATGGTGATGTGTCCAGTACTTATTTTACCTGTGTATAATATGAGCATTCCCAGAAGTGAAGAGTTATAACCTGGGGCTGTCAGAGTGACTCCCTTGCTATGCTGTATTGCATGGATGAAGGAATCTGTTCGTTTTTTTTTTTTGTTCACCCCTGCAAACTGTACGAATAAAATCGAAAAGCGTAAAAAGCCAGCTTATGGAGTATCTTAGTGCTAAAACTAAGAAGCAATGTTTTGATGCTCCTTGCACATTTCCTGACTAGGCGTCTGTAATGCCAGAAGCCATAAAATGATTTTATCTTTACAGCACAATCTTTCAATCCAATGTGAGAACCCTCTCAAGGGTCAATGTGATAAGAAAAAAACATAAAGGATAGATTTACAAATAAAACAGATTTTCCTGGACATGGGAAAAGGAGTTTAGAGTGCACTTACTCAAAATGACCCTTAAGCTTCTGATCGTTTATCCCTCTGCACAGCTGCGCACTACGCATAAAACATAACCCGTTTGCCAGACAGAACCCAACTATGACTAAGTCAGTTAGTTCTTCAAAAACCTAACTTTTCTGCACTTTAACCCCCTATGTCCCAGCTCTCTCTGGTGCAGAAGGAATGCAGGAAAAGCCAAGTTGAAGTGAATAATTCAGTCAAGTCTTTGATAAGGACTTGCAGTGCGACTCAGAACACCAGAATGAATTTGTCAATCTGTGCGTTCCATATTGACTACCTCCACAGGGTATTCTTGCATCAAACAGAAGAATTCCTCAAGAACAAGTCAGTCTGATTGCTCTTTGAATGTGAAAAAAGATTTGTTTGAAATGTGTGCAAGCACTGCAGGGGAACTAGTTTTAGCAGGAGCCTTGCATGTCAGAACAATTGAGACACACTCTATCCTCCATACATCACATGAACTTCTATAAAGCGCCGTCAGATAAGCGCAGTAGTCAGACCCTCTGTAGTCAAATTCAGTTCTTATGATCTTTTTTTTCTCTAAAAAAAATAAATAAATCATTTAAAGCTACAAAATGTATATTTAAATTCACTGCATAAGCTGTGTATATAGAGATTTCAGAAAAGTGCAAATGAAACTACCATGTTCGTTTCCTACTGAGCATTCAGCACTTGACACTGAGCGGTCTGTTCATCAAAAACTTGCAGAGTGAATGTCTCAGCATTTGCACAAAAGTCACAAATAAATCCCATAATGTTTATAACGTGGGAATTGTCAGTTTCTACTTGTTAGAACATTCACCTTTATTCTTTTTTGAGAGAAAATAGCCCTAAGAACATTCAAACAAAATGACAATGCTATGAAGATTATTTTTAACTTTCATGCAAATGCCAAAACATTTGTATAGCGATTTAAAAAAAATAGATTCACACGTGTGCGGTGCGGATTGAAGCTCTGGTTTCACAGCTAATTAATACAGTAGTTGTTCAGCAATTCATGTTCCATTTACATCAGGTTCAAGTCAGGATTTTATCCTGTTCACAACTGATACGTGCGGTTTGGAAATGGTTCCCATAGAAGTCAATAACCTGTAATTCGTACCTGAACCAGACCGTACTGCTCAGAAATCGGACAGGACTCTTTTTCAATCCGCACTGCCACTGCACAGGACATATGTGAACAGGCACCATAGGAAGCAATGTTAATTCAGATGTCATGCGGATTGGATGTGGTTCAAACTGCATCCAATCCGCATATATGTGAACCAGGCAGGGATAACCCAACCATTCTGATTCTCAGCTAAATCTCTGGC